GGGGGGTGTCGCAGCTGGGGAGCTGGGGGGGTTAGTTTTGCTAAACAAAAAATTACATGTTATGTTTTATAGCATTGTTTTCATAAACAAACAAAAATTGAATAAATTAAATTAAATTAAAAAAAGGTTTGAAACTGAATGGTACAGTGTGATGCTCCACCTGTCAGCCGTACCTGGCCCAGACCATGGCAAGGTCCAAGCCAAAGATGTCCCAGAAAGTGAGGTAGAACTCCACAGTCAGCCCATCGATACCCAGTGCTTTGTTGGTGGGCATCAGGTGGAGGGTGTCTGAGAGTTCAGCCAGACCCTCCAACTGGTTCAGGTAGCCTGAGCTGAGCTGGGGCAGTCCCACCTGCTGGACCTGGCACGCAACAAGTTGGTTGGATCTGAAAAGAAGAGCATTGCCATTCCCCACCAGGAGGCAAATGATGCACTTTTTGGCACCCCTCCTCTTATGTAGGACATAGAAAAAGCAGAAGCCATGGGTCATTTCCCAGAAGAGCTGAACATTTGATGTCCAAATCCTGATGTACAGGGAAAATAGCATATAAGGTAGATAGCCAGCTTAGCTTAGTAGAGAACTCTTCGGTAAGCTTAAACACAACAAGAAGTTTACAAGAAGTGGAAACTTAGACAGATGACTAGGAAGTAATATAAGAATATTGCCTAGGCCTGCAGGATGAAATCAGGAAAGCCAAAGTGCAACTGGAGTTGCAACCAGCAATGGGTGTGAAAGGTAACAAAAATGGTTTCCACAAGTATGTTAGCAACAAGAGGAAGGTCAGGGATAGTGTGGGTCCTTTTCTGAATTGAGGAGGCAACCTAGTGACAGATGATGAGAAAAAGGCTAAAGTACTCAATGCCTTTTTTACCTTGGTCTTCACAGGCAAGGTCAGCTCCCAGACTACTGCACCAGGCAGTACAGTTTGGAGAGAAAGTAAGTTGCCCTCAGTGGTGAAAGAACAGGGTAGGGAGTATTTAGAGAAGCTTGGCATGTACAAGTCCATGGGGCCAGATGCAATGCATCTGAGGGAGCTGAGGGAGTTGGCTGATGTGATCGCAGAGCCAATGGCCATTATTTTTGAGAATTCATGGTGATGGTGGGAGGTCTTGGATGAATGGAAAAGGACAAATATAGTGCCTATCTTTAAGAAAAGAAAGAAGGAAGTTCCAGGAAACTACAGACCCGTCATCCTCCTCTCAGTTCCTGAAAAACCAAGGAACAGGTCCTCAAGGAATCCATTTTCTAAGCACTAGGAGGAGAAGAAAATGATCAGAAACATTCAGCATGGATTCACCAAGGGCAAGTCATGCCTGACCAACCTGATTGCCCTCTATGATGAGATGACCGGCTCTGTGGATGTGGGGGAACCTTGACTTTAACAAGACTTTTGATATGGACTCTCACAGCGTTCCTGCAAACAAGCTAAGTAAGTATGGGTTGGATGAATGGATTGTAAGGTTGATACAAAGCTGGCTGGATCATCAGGGTCAACAGGAAGTGATCAATGGCTTGAGGTCTAGTTGACAGCCAGTATCAAGTGGAGTGCCTCAAGGGTCTGTCCTGGGTCTGATTTTGTTCAACATGTTCATGAACAACCTGGAGGATGGGATGGAGCACACCTTCAGCAACTTCATAGATACCCCGAAGCTGGAGGGTAGATACACTGGAGGGTAGGTCTAGGATTCAGTGACCTAGACAAATTGGAGGATTGGGCCAAAAGAAATCTCATGAGTTTCAACAAGGACAAGTCCTGCACATAGGACGGAAGAATACAATGCAGTTCTACAGGCTTGGGACCAACTGGCTAAGCAGCAGCTCTGCAGAAAAAGACATGTGGGTTACAGTGGACAGTAAGCTGGATATCAGTCAACAGTGTGCAATTGTTGTGAAGAATTCTAACAGCATACCGGGCTATATTAGTAGGATTGTTGCCAGCAAATCAAGGGAAGTAATTTTTCCCCTCTATTCAGCACTGGTGAGGGCACATCTGGAGTACTGTGTACAATTTTGGGGCTCCCACCACAGAAAGGATGTAGACAAGTTGGAGAGTCCAAAGGAGGGCAACAAAAATGGTTAGAGGGCTGGGGCACATGACTTCTGAGGATTGGCTGGGGCAACTGGGCTTCTTTAGTCTGCAGAAAAAAAGACAGGTGAGATTTTATAGCAGCCTTAGACTGCAGAGAGGCTCAAGCTTGTATTTTAAGGCATGACTTTGAGCTGCTTGTAACCATGAGGGCTGAACCCCTAAGTTAAACAGAAGGTATTGTGGGTGATGATCTACTATGCTTGTCCCAGCCAAATAAGAGAGTATCATGGAAGCCATATCCTTTGGACAGTTATCTGTAAGTTGTGATATCTGGTGCATGTAAGCATGTCTACCTCTGTGTCTATGGAGATAAGGAATTTCTCAACTCCTATTGCCTACTAATTTCATTTTACCTCAGTACTAACTTCTCTACCAGTATTTTTCACAGTCAAACTCAATTCTGAAAAGTTCAGTCACTTAAGTGTAATGTTTAGACAGATACTGATGCCAGAGCACATGGCTTATACAAACCTCTTTCTAACATAGTATTTTGTTTCATATGGAGGGAGGGTTCTTAGCTTTAACAAATGCTTCTAAGAAATGGGGTATTTTAAATACTATCAATAATTGCATAGGAGTGGTGTTTAGTACAAGGAAGGAAATAAATCTGATGATAAAATCCTTAATACAGTCATTTTATCTGATCTCAAACTCACTCTAACATCATGGGTTCAACAGTTCAATTTGGCTTGGGGTTTGCATTCTCCTTGGGAGATAACTGTGGATAAAAAGAACATAGATAAAAAAATAAGATTGAAAAAAAACATGAAGTGCAGGAAAGAAAATCTAACCAAATAAAATACTACTGTGTTTTAAACCTAAGATGAGGGATTTTTTCCCCTAAAAAGCCCTAAATCATAAATTCATGTACAAATATGAGGGGGAACATGGTGGCTGCTGCAGCTCTGACTCTGGTCCGGAGCTCGGGTTCAGGCTAGAGTCAGACCCACAGTAGCCTCCTGCACCAGACCTCCACTTGTCCTCTGCAGCTTCTGACCCCTTCTGCCACTTGGCCTAGGGACAGGCATTACACATAAACTGGTTTAAGTGATCAGAAGCTGGTTTAAACCTGTAACAGAACAGATGTTCAGTGCACATAAACCAGTTTCAAAATGGCTGAAACCAGTTTGAGATAAACTTGGTTGAATGTAGTATCAGACTTAACTGATTTGGGTCAAACCAGTTTATGCAATGTCTATCCCAGACCCCGTGCTGGTTTAAGATAAACCAGACACCCCCAGCATCTCTGCATGCTCTCTGATCTGGGTGGGGCTCTCTGCTCCACAGCAGGGCTGGCCTCTCCCCTCTGCTCCCTGGCCAGAGCTCTGGCACAGACTGCAGGCATCTGCCTGCACCCCCACTCCCCTCTCTGTCCCTTCTGCCTTACAGACACCTCAGCATTAGCTATCAGACCACGTGCTGTCTATGGTCCATGCAGTGGCAAGACAAAGAGAGAATCAACAGGTAGCTGGTAATATCCCTTTGTTTTCTTAAT